ACCTGTCACAGACACAGCTTCAGGGCTTGACTTCCCCGTTGTGATGGACAAGGGTGTAATGAGGACAAGGATGAAGAGGAATCAGATGGTGTGTTTGAAACAACATTGTAAAGTTGCTCCAGGCAGAGCCTGACCAAAGACCAAGGCAGATCAGGAGTTGCAGCACCACGGAGGCTCAGAGTGAAAAGCTTGTTCCAACAAATATCAACACTATTCTTAAGCCTCTCCCAGGTTCTGGCCCCTTGTGGAGAACTTAGTTTCTTAAGGCAGGCACTTGTCCTCTCTTTATGTGTGATTGTATTTTTAATATTTTGTTGGAAGCTACCCAGAGGGGCTGGGGAAACCCAGCAAGATAGGCGGGGTATAAAACAATAAAATAAAGTAAAATAAAGTAAAATAATAAAATAAAATAAAATAAAATAAAATAAAATAAAACAAAATAAAATAATAATAATAATAATAATAATAATAATAATAATAATAATAATTCATGGTCTCATGCTTGGTGGAGTTCCTGTGCTCTTGGATTTGTGATGTACTGGGGGGCGGCATTTGGTTCGGGTGTGAAAGGCACCCATGAGAATTCTGGTCCAGGCTGTGGTGGTATGGAAGAATATAATGCGGCCCTTTGTTAGTCACCCTCATTCAGACCCCTGAATGTAATCTCACTCTTTAGCTGGTGATGCTGCAGCTTCTGATCGGTCTATATATATGACTATATATAGTATATATACGTTAAATCATATATATATATATTCTACTAAAGATTAAAACAAAACGATATTATGCCAGAAACATATCATCCTTATTATTCCCCCATATTTCCCTTACACTTCAACATATATTTGAACTAGTTTTATACATTTCCCCTAACTGCATTGGTGTCGTGTACCATTTGTTACATCATCTTCATGTAATCTTCTTCAATAGGGAACAATCTGTAAATTTTAAATCAGTTTTCCATAATTTTCCCATCCTAAATATTGTGACCTACATCTTGTGCCCATTAATCATAACTAATTTACCTCTTTCATCGTTTTGTCTCCCCATTCTAATAGTATGCTGTATGCAGCTTCACTTTCCTTCATTCTACGTCTTCCATTTGGAAACCTAGATCTAGTATAACTAAATCCTTTCTTACTGTCTTCTTTATGTGTTTCATATAGTTGTCGATAACGTAACCCAACTTTGAAAGTGGTCTCATCGTAATCTCTTAATTTCCATTTTCTCAATATGGTCCCTTTATATAAAATCCACATATGTGAGCCATTTTCCTTTCTTTCCAAGTGGTTTGAGCAGTAATGCTTCATGTGGTGTAAGCCACCACGTTTTTTTGTTCCAATAAGTTTTTGTATCTCTCCCATACTCTCATTAGTGATTTTCCTGATTATATGGTTGTAAAAACTTCTATGAACCTTCGCTTTCCCCGTACCATAAGTATGCGTGCCAGGTCAAATCTGTTGTCAATGTCCTTCTAGTTCTAATGCCTCTTGCTTATCCAATCTCATCCAGTCCCTGATCCATACCAAACAAGCAGATTCATAATACAATTATGCTTCTGGTGGGTCTTGACCACTGCTGGACATGGGGGTAATGACAGAGCCCCATACAGAGCTGGCTGTCCTGCGTACCACGCCTTCACAGATCAAGAACAAATTGCATTATTCACAAATGCACAATAGAAGTTCTCCCCATCCCCTCCAATTTTACCTGTCCCAAGAGCTGGAAACAACACTGGTAGGTTTCCTGCATAGTGGTGAGCAAGGAGAGGAATTCCTCACTACTATTATATCAAAGCGGTTGCCCAAAGATGTATGGAGCTGATGACGCTTAGGACACGAGGCGGCTCAGGATGAGGTGGGTGTCAAAGGGTGCACCTAGAAAGAGAGACCCCCCCCGTCAAGTCACTCAGCCCAGAACAAGTCAAGGGCTACTATTGAACCTGCAAAGCTGTCCAGTCCTTGCCTTATCCATGTTATGGGTTGAAATCTAGGCCTCAAGCATGACACAGAAAACCTCACCGGAGTTGACCTTATGTCCATCTTAAGATGATGGAGTGGTAGAAAACCACCTGAGCTAAAGGCCTCCAAGGAAAGTGCAGGACAGGACCATTTGGACCTGGGTTTGTGGTGGTGGGAGAAGGGCTGTCATATTGGAGGATGGAGTAAGCTCATTTTCTGCTGCTCCAGAGGGTAGGCTACATGTTGCAGATATTTTAGCTGTGATTCCTGAATTGCAGCGTGTCACGGAGCTGGCAGGGAAGGCTCTGGAGCTGGAGGAGGAGGAGGGACGGGAGCCTGTAAAAGAGGCAGGAGTAACAGAGGGTGGAGATCAAGGGGAAGGCACTCAGGTGGCGGGAAGGCTCCCTGATGTTAGCGAGCAGTAACACCTCTCCTACCAGCTCTCTACCAGTAACACTCTCTACCAGTCACAGAGGGAGAGGCAATGCCAGTTCCTTCCGCACAGGACCGGAGAGGGTTAAAACACGGGGAACAAAGAGGTGTTTGGGATTGCTCAAGCTGGCTTTGCTGGAGGAGGAGCCGAAAGCTCCCACTTCCGGGATCTGCTACGGACAATTCGGACACATGAAGCTATGCTCTGCATCTTGTAAAAAGGTAAAGGGACCCCTGACCATTAGGTCCAGTCGTGACAGACTCTGGGGTTGCGGCGCTCATCTCGCTTTATTGGCCGAGGGACCGGCGTACAGCTTCCGGGTCATTGTGGCCAGCATGACTAAGCCGCTTCTGGCGAACCAGAGCAGCACACGGAAACGCCTTTCACTTTCCCACTGGAGCGGTACCTATTTACGTATCTACTTGCACTTTGACATGCTTTCGAACTGCTAGGTTGACAGGAGCAGAGACCGAGCAACGGGAGCTCACCCCCGTCGTGGGGATTCGCAGTGGTGTAGTGTAGGGGGTGCCAGGGGTGCGGCCGCACCAGGCGCAACATCTGGGAGAGGCGAGTCCAGAGGGAAGGGACAAGTTCCTTCCTCCGCCGGGCTCCCCGCCGCCACCGCCAGCCTTGCGCCCTAGCGCACGCGTGCCCCCCGCCGCCGCCGGCTGCTGCGGATGCGCTCCACTCACTGCTCGCAGGAGGAGCAGCCGCTGCAGCAGCGGCCGACGCCGCCACCGATGCCTGGCCGGGCACGGGCAGCCTCCACACCCCAACGCCGCCGCCATCCCCTCGGCCCAGCCACAGGCGGCGGCTGCTTCTGCCGACTGGGAGGGAGGAGAGCTCCGAGGGGCCTCGCCGCGCCCTGCTCTCCCCAAAACCCTCCGAGAGGAAGCCGGCGGGCGGGCGAGGGTCTCCCGGCAGAAGGGGGTGCCGCTGGCTCCGGCTCTCAGCGCAAGTCTCAGCTGCGGGGGGCGGGGCGGGCGAGGACGGAGCGTGGCTGGAAGCCACCGGACCCGGCCGGGAGGAGGAGAGGCGCTCGCCAAGCCCGGATCTGGAGCGCCTCGGAGCGCGGGCTCCACCTACAGCCCAAGGAGAGAGGGGCAGGGAGGCGCCCACGGGAGGGGGCTTCGGCTGCCTCGGCCTGCGGGGGCTCCGCAAATAATAAATTTAATTAAATTCCTGCTGAGCCTTTGGGGGGTGTCCATGGCTCCTTCGCTCACCCCCAGCCCCAGTGGCGTAGCGTGGGGGGTCGGGGGGGGGGGCCGGCTGCAACATCTGAGGGGGGCGCTCGCACTCGAGTGCTAAAATCCATGGTTAGGGGGCACAAATTACTTGCCTTGCCCCGGGTGCTGACAACCCACGCTACGCCACTGGGGATTCGAACCGCCAACCTTCTGATTGACAAGTCCTAGGCTCTGTGGTTTAACCCACAGCGCCACTTGTAAATAGATGTAAATAAAGACAGTAAATACATCTCTGAGTGAGCAGAGGTATTTCTTGTGAAAGGCCTCCAAACCCATCACACAGGGGGATTGGGGTCCCTTCAAATCCTAAACGTCTGCACTAGATGAGTCACTGGCTAGATTCAGCAGGAATTTCTTATGTTCTTATGATGTGAGGTGAAGCAGGAGTGCTCAGCTTCTGGGCACTAACTCCTGGTCTCTGAACACTTGTCTAATTGTCTTAGCAACATCCTTGTGTAAAAACTGCATGATCTTTCGTTTACTAAGAATCTACCATGGATCACCTTCAAGGTGTGAGTCCAGCTTCTAATATTATATGAGAGAGGGAGAGTTTCAATTCGCAGAAAGCACTATGTGTTTAATGGCGCTTTCCTTCATCTGTTATTTTCGCCCTCGGCGTTCATCAACAGCTCTCAAAATGGCTTACAGATGACCAACATTCAAACACTCGGTTCACTGTCAAACATTTCTATCACCTGTAACCCGTGAAGCAACATTTCTTGAAGTTACAAAAACTGAGCTCACTTTTTGTCGCCCTCAGGGATTCCAGCAGGAAATGGGCTTCTTCCAGGATCCGCTCTTCAATGGAATCTCTTTCCCATCCCAAAATTCCTCAGCGTCGTGATGGAGAAGCGCTGTAGCTGTTTTTTCCCGTTCCCCGTTACTGAAGCCAACCCCTGAGAAGCAAAGGAGTGAGGAATAAGGAGCAGGATTGAATGACATTGCGGCTGAAACACAAAAGTATGAGAACCCCCCCAATTTTTTTAGGTTTTTTGCTTTTTAGAATATGGTCTGGTTTGAAAGATCCAATTTCCAGCTTTTGAGAGAACATTCTAAGTGTAAGGTGTGTGTGTGTGTGCTGTGTGTGTGTGTGTGTGTGTGAGAGAGAGAGAGAGAGAGACTTCCTCAGTAAGAGGGGTTTAACAATAATCTACTGCATAGGACCATGAGAAGGGCCAATAAGACTCTCCAGTGCTAAGCGTGATAGAAAGGGCATATAAATGCCAGTAATCATGTTGCTCAGGCCAAGGATTGCCCAAGAAGAGACTGTCCGTAACCCTGGGAAAAACCAGTCCAACGTGGCTTGTTCTCCACGGTCACTGAAATCTTCATCCTGGTCCACCAGGGCCTCCTTCACACGGCATCGTATCCGCACAAGACCACAACACGGCGGGGCCCTAAGTAGATGGTGTAGACAGGACCATATTTCTCACAGATCTGTGAAAGAGAGCACAAGGTGAGCCTGCTGGGTCAGGTTAAAAAGGGGCACATCTAGAGTCCAGGATCCTGTTCTCAGAGTGGCCCAACCAGATTCCCCTTCTGGTAAGATTACCAGATTTTTTTCAAAGAATCTGGGGACACTTTTTTTTTTTTGAAAAGAGAAAAAAAGTTATTAAAAATGTTTATTTTTATTTTCCAAGTAATCTCTTCTGTGGTCTCCTCTGTCCTGCGGCCTTCCTCTGGGCCCGAGCCTGATCTCTTGGAGCGCTAGCCATCATGGAGTAGGTTCAGGTCGGGCCTGGACTCGGCCATGTGTCCTTGCCCTTCCGGTGTTCTCTTACCTCTCCTCAGCTGTGGCAGTGGCACTGGTGTGGCAAGGTCAGGGCTTCCTCTTTTTTCTCCTTCCTCTTTCTCTCTCTTCCTTCTCCTTCTCCTCTCCTCCTTCTCCTGCATCGGCTCCAGAGTTTTCCTGGTTCCGGAGTGCCACTGGGCAGTTCAGCC